TTGTGGGACACTCTTGTGGGACACTCTTGTGGGACACTCTTGTAGGACACTCTTGTGGGATACTCCTGTAGGACACTCTTGAGGGACACTCTTGTGAGACACTCTAGTGGGACACGGTTGCGGGACACTCTTGTGGGACACTCTTCCAGCTCCCCAGATACTCCGCGTACTAAAGTTGCACAAAGTCGCCAGTTCTCAGCTAGATTGCTCCGCGTACTAAAGTTGCACTACCAAGTCACCAGTTCTCATCTTCCAGCTTTGCAGATACTCCGCGTACTAAAGTTGTACTACAAAGTCGCCAGTGCTCGCCCGCATTTCGCGCGCTCGACACGCACGATCTCCGCAGAGCGGGCACCGGACAAATCGCAGTCTCGCCTGCATTTTGCGCACTCGACACGCACGATCTCCGCGAAGGGTGGTGCGGGCACCGGACAAATCGCACTCTCGCCTGCATTTCGCGCACTCGACTCCGCAGAGGGTTGCGCGCGCATGGGACAAATTGCACTCTCGCCTGCATTTCGCACACTCGACACGCACGATCTCCGCAGAGGGTTGCGCGTCAAGTCTCCAAAACGATCGTTTCGTACGAGACTTCCTCAAAAACTCACACGTCAAAGTCTGCAAAACGAGCGTTTCGTACGAGACTCCCTCCAAAAGTCAAGCGGAAACACCCATCGGAGCACACACATCACGCAGCCCTGCCAAGCAGTTTCACGATTGCACCTCCAAACAACATCCGCCCACACGCCAATCCCAATGTGACAGTGACATTCACCTCTACCACAACTCACAACCTCACGATTCCCTGCGCCTGCCACGAATCTTTCCGCGTCCACACGTCTAACGCGCACAAAGTACTGCGCCTGCCACGAAATGTCACCTCCGTTACACCTCGCAACCTCACGATTCCCTGCGCCTGCCACGAGAATCGCACTTCCACGCCTCAAAACCCGCACAAAGTCCTGCGCCTGCCACGAAAAGTCTCATGTGAGCTTCAACAAAATTTGCACCACACACACGTTTGGAATGATTTCGACCCGTTCTGAGCACACTCCCATCCACCAAAATCGCCATTTCAGCTGAGACTTGTCACGAAAATCGAGCTTCGATGCCACACCCTGAAACGCAAATCCCAATGGCACGGCCACATCCAACACCCCAAAAACACGACTCTCCAAACGCTAATCCCAATGGAACTGCGCAGCAATCTGCGGATCTCACAAAACGCTGCGCCTGTGCAGCGAAACGCATCACGTTTCTTGCACGACATGTCATTGCCATGCAAATCACAATGGAATAGCGGCGCAAACTGACACGTGACACATCCATGCAAAGTCACTTGCAAAAGCTTCCCCCAATGGCAGCGAATTTGAGACGCAACGACGACGACAAACGACGAGAGACGACGAGAGACGACGAGACGACGCAAGCCATGCAAACACAGCTCCAACCCCGAGACCCCCAACTATAAACGGGAACCCTTCGCTGCGCATTCGGGAAAAAGCTCCAAAAAAGCGACTTTTCCCCCCGAAACGATCCATCCATGACGCCTACCACACCTCTCGCGCCTGCAAGGCCTGGATGAAGAGGCCGTCCTCGCTCCCGGTGATGTGCAGACCCCAGCTTTCGTCGGTGGAATCGCGCTGCAGCACCACATCGAGGCGCCTTTCCAGCACCAGGCGTTGGTTGAAGAAGGAAGCACACGAGAAAAGTCTGACCATGGCTGAGACAGCCTCTCCGAGGCCGTGTGGGCAAACTCTAATTTGTTTGGGATGCGCGCGGAGCTGTGCGGGGCCTGTGCCCACGTAGCACCTATTTAGGCAAACAGTTTTAAACTGAGCCGAGACGCAACAGGACACCCATGCCCGGGCTGCGACGCTGGGCACCCCTGCTCGGAAAAACCAGCTTTGCATAGCCGCTAAACAAAACACACCTCTGCCCAGGTCTGCTGAATCTGCTGCCACGTCTCTATATCTCTGCAACCCACCTTTTTGCTCCCTCGACTCAAAACACCGACTTTGGTCTGTTCCAGGAGGAGCAGCACGTGAACAAATACAAGACAACTCAAAGACCCCTGAGACTTGCAGAAGTGGCGTTCGAAAATGGCCCAAACCCCTAATATCCCCTAATTCTCTTGCCAGAAGTGCTTGACCCATGCCCCACACGTTTCTCGCTCCGGCTCTCACGCCTGCAAGGCCCACACTGTGAGACCCAGCGCGTCTCGGCGCGCAAATCGAAGGCACGGCCCGCCGTGAAGGCGGCCGAGCCGTTCGCACCGGGGCCCGCCTCCGGGAACGAGCAGAATCCAAGGAGAACAGTGGGGAGAAGAGGATAGAAGAGGTGAGTCCTGTGCGAACAGAAAGGGTAGATCAAATAGTGCAACAAATAAATCACTAAGTGCAAGTGGGGCAGACAGATCTTATATGAGTAGATGAATTGGCCGTGGAAGAAAGTCCCCTTCTTTCCGGTTGTGGGCCCGTCTCCGGTCCACGCACGCGCACGGACGGTCCATCGGACGTCCGAGTCGTCCGTCGCGTGAGGCACGAGTCGCGTGAGCTGAAGACCCGACAGAGAGACAGCAAGTTGAAGGATGTGCCTTCATGGAATCGCTTGAGTGCCAAACTTCCCAACACAAAGAGAGTGCTGCGAACAGGTTGACAAGAGAGTGGTGCGAACTCCACGCACTTGCGATGGTCTCCTACAGAAATGCGGCCACGGCGGCCACGGCATGTTGGAAAAGTCAAGCACCAATGGCATCCCTCATCCATGTAGCGTCCGATCGCTCCTAGCCGTAAGGCCACTAGCCCCGTCCCTAGCGTCCGATCGCTCCGTTTTGTAGCGTCCCTGTCCAAGACCTCACCAAGGTTAGGTTCCCCGCATCGGTACCTGTGTTCACCCCAAACCATGAGAATGACGTTCGACGGTCGAGAGCATCGAAAAACGACCTCCCCCAGTTGGAGCCTCGAAATGCCCACCTGGGATGCGGCTTCGAGAGCGGCTTCGAGAGCAACTCGGAGTTGGTCAGGTCCAGGAGGAACAAGAGGTTTTCACCCACTGCAGTGAGCAGGAGGTTCCTCATCCTCTCCACGCTGCTGTTCCCGCCCTCATGTTTCAGCGCACGCCCGGTGGACGGTTTCGCACACGAGGGGGGGGGGCCCATCCAGCTCCCGTCCCGATCCTCGAGCCGGCGCCCAACAGGGATGAGTGCACCACCTCTGAAGACTTTGTTGGCTCAACCAGTGGACGGCAAAGCTTGGAGTAGAATCTGACGCGCATCTCTCTCTCTCTCTGTGCTCGAAACCATCCGTCCCAGTCGCTGGAGATGGGAAGCTCGCAGATGCGGTCGAGATGGCACTCCGCGTCGCCAAAGAAGCGCAGCTCATAGATGTGAACGTGCTCCTGGTGACCCAGGGAGGACCCGATCTTGTAGTAGGAGGGAGGGACCTTGATTGAACCAAGTGGGTGAAAAGCTTTAAGTTTAAATTTTAAATTGGCAGACGCCCAAAGAATGAAGAACACACACTTTTTTTCGACTCATCCAACATCATCCGACTGTATTCCCAGCATCTCAAACTCGCTCCTTTCCACCCCCTATCCCCCTATTGATGCCCATGATCTTCAACTTCCACGGTGGGACCCTTTCTCTCCAGCTCGGCTTGCGCGTTGCTCAGCCGCAGGGCGTGGCCCTTGGGCGCCATAACCATCACCTGCTCCAGGCTGAGAGTGCCCACCTGATCCTGGTCCAACTCCTGCAGACTTGACCCAACAGGCCGGCGGGCCAAAAAGAAAAGGAAACGACCCAAGTCGAACCAAAGCTCCGGACGTCCGGGTGGACTTTGGGGGTGATTTCTGGGGGGCCTCTTGGGCTTGGAGAGGACAAGGCGGTGTTTTGGGGGGTGCCAGGGGCCTTGGACACCCGGAAAAACGTGCCTGGGACTACAGTTCATGAAGGTTCCCAAAGGACTGGCCGACTGAACCTGGGCTTCAAGGCCCACCAGCACAAACATCACCATGATATCACATGTACGATTCCCATAGTGGTCAAATGCTAAGCCGTTTAGCCTCACAGTTCCTCCAACCCCCCCTTGCTCAGCCTTTGTAGCCAGACCTCACGTCGTGCCCACCTTTAATTCCCCGGACCACCCACCCCATCGCCTTCCGCTACCTTCAACCCCCCGGTCGCGGCCCATCGCCGCTCCCGCTCGCGCCGCGTGCGCCGGCCGCCGCGTGCGCGGGCGCTCCGCGAAGAGCTGCGCCACGTTGGCGGAGCTGACGCCCAGGGGCGTCGCCAGGCGCGCGAGCTCCGGCAGGTCGACCACGCCGTTCCCTGGGCGTGGTGGTCTCGGTCGTTGGAGGAAGGTCCCGTGCGGGGGGGGAAGGGATGGGATGGATGTATTCTGTGGCCACGGCCTTGGGTTTGCGTCGTTCTCACGAAGATCTCTGCAACAAAACTCGAACAAGTCGAAGTCAATGTCCCTCGTCAGGAGGTCCATGCTCAGAAACATTGCTTGCATCCCGTCCCTTCTCACCACCCGTGGCCAAGGCGCCATCACCCTCACCATCTGCCTTCTCAAAGGCCGTCTGGAGAAAGCCAAACGCTGAGGTCAAGAGTTGGCCTCGGCGCCCGTCGAGCCAGCACGAGGTCGGCGCCGCCGCGTCGAGATGCCGCACTAAACCCATCTCTCTCCCTTTGAATCTGGTCCTTTTTCCACCTGTGCCAGGCTCCGAGGTCACCATTCCACACCCCCACGTTTTCGCCTTCTTGCCCTCGAGAACGGGATCCGGATCGTCCCGGCCAAGCAGCTCAGACCGCGCGCCGTGAGCTGCCCGGACAGGAGCCTCGGCCGGGTTGAAGAGGGTGGAAGTCGTCCGTACGTCGGCTCGCACGTCATCCCGGACGGTGGCAACTACATACTCGCGCATAGCACGGGCGCGCGGCAAACCATTCATCTACTATGTACAGTATGCGTTTTTGATCGTGCAATTGCTTCGTGCCTGGAAACAGGAAAGCTCGGAAAGCACACACACATTGTGGATGAGTGATTTGGCCAGTTAGCTTAAGGGTGGCTTGGCAGGAAAGTGGGTTGGGAGGGAAAGTTGAAGCAGGACAGCATTGGGAACGGACGTATCTTTTTGGACACGTCCCCCAATGAGTCGCTTGAGCCACCAAATACCTGATGACTGTGTGGTGTCCGTTTTGGACAACCCAACTTTCAGACAACGAATCATCCAAGAAGGTTCATCCGCACAATTCTCCAAACAGCCTCATGGTAGGTGTTGATCAGAAGGGCTCAAGAAACAACAGTTCGTAGAGTTCCTGGTGGCTTGCGGCTTCAGTCTCCGTTCTGTGGGTCAACGATCTGCAACCCTTTATGTAATCTTGTATCGTTTTATATGCATAATCTATTAATATATCTACCAGGACCCGGACCCTCAAGGAGTGGTTAATAGACACCCCGAATCATCCCTACGGGCCTATTCATGAACATCCTTTCCTGGTACTGGTATATCATGGTATATCTAGTTCCCTTGTGAGGTGCTTGTGCAATCTTGGGCACGCCATCAGTGCGCGAGAGAAACGCCTGCTGTGTCACGTAGCCCGCCTACCTGCCAAAGACCCATCCGTGACACTGGCGCATTCTTGCCCAAGAAGCATCTCGAAGTGCGACCGCAGCAGCTTTCCCTCCTGCAGTCTGCAGTCTCCACGTGTGACGCGGGTGGTGGATGGCACTGAGCCATCGACACTCCAAGTCACCGCATTGCAGGATTTTTCCAGTCACCGCGGACAGAGCCAGGGTTACTAGAAGTGGGATGGACTGGTTTTTGAGCAGGAATAAGCCGGGAGATCAAAAGATAGCACCTTGAGCACTCAGTTGTCGTGGTACCAGCTTGTTAGCAAATGTTTCCTCCACTTCTACTTGCTATGTATAGACCGGTGCATAGAGAGAAGGGGGGCAAGCGAGCGAGCGAGCGAGAGAGAGAGAGAGAGCGAGAGAGAGAGAGAGAGGCAGAGGGAGAGGGAGAGGGAGAGGGAGAGGGAGAGGGAGAGGGAGAGG